CATTTTTGGTTGTATTTGATTCGTATCTTGAGATACTAAAATCACCCAGGTTTGTTGTTGATTTTTATATTCTCGTACACCCCAATTTGAATCTTTAAAGATTTGACCTAATGTTTCATATGCTCCTACCCCACTAAATACACAATAATAACACCCATGGCTTGGTAAATATCATCTAAAAAATCCCTACAAACAAGCTTTCCAAGCATGGTGCATTTACATGTTGATTTCGTTGCTGACACCCATTTTTTAATTTGTCTTGAATTAAAAATACTAGTGTTTTCTTAAATTCAGAAGTTGCTTCAGGTGGTTGAGGCATTAAACCAGCCCGAGGAATATTATAATTAGAGTGGATCAGTGATTTGTGTTGACTTAGCCCTTGTAGATTCTTATAGCTTTTTCCTGGACATAAAGTACAGTAAATACGTGAAGAATCAGTAAACAGTGATGAAATATAGTTGTTATTTTGTTTGTAAACTCTACTCTGATGTATATGTAACCCTTTGAGATTCTTAAACGTTTTGTTTGAACACAATGGGCATGAAAAATTCAACACAATTTGACTTTGCATTTCGTTACCAAAAGTATTTACTTAGTCTGGTTGTTATTATATGAGTATAGCCAAGGAAAAACCTGTCATCAGGGTTTTAAATTCATAATTTACCGGTCACAATCTCTAACAAATCAAATAGATCGAGTCCGGTAGGCAATAAACTTGGAACTCCGATGACAGGCTTTCTCTTGACGGCACATATATGTGGTAATACTTAGCTTTTCAGAACTTTCGGAGTAGTTTTCCTTGCACATATAGACAAAAGATTGGTTTTGACGTCAGGAGATTGGTTTGACACTCAGTTTATTATAGGCTTTGACGACAGAAGATTGGGTTGACAATCAGTTTATTATGACGATGATTATCAGATTGATAATAAAATAATAGGCCAAATTCTGCCGATCCGCCGATATGGTTGCCATATTTAATATTAATATACAAATTTTACTAGGTCTCTATTACTTAATCGTTAAATAACTATTAAAATTTATTAAATTTATAAATTTAGCCAAATTAATAAAATGAATTGAAAAATGTCTCAACATAGTTTTAAAACCACACAATTTTTAAATTATTTGCAAGTTACAGAATCGGATTTGCTTTACTAGAAAAAGAGTTATAACATTTTAAAAATACATAGTTTTTATTATAAAATTACTATAATAAAATTTTTTAATAAATTGATCGACAAAATTTTAAAAATCTTACTTAGTAGGCCAATCATATAGTGCTGCACTATGATAGTAAATCATTTAGTATGAAACACCCCAATGGGCAATTGAAACCTCAAGCGAGAGACCATACGAATTAAAGATATATAAGGATGTAGTTTCAGTTTATAAAGGGAATAACGGTTGTTAAAATGATTGTTGATGGTATTTAGTATCATTACGATAATCCAATGTGTTGATTTATATTAATAAAAAGAAACCTTAACATGTATTTATGTGTTTTAGTTTATCGATTTAAACTCTTTAACCTTAATCTTCATTTGTTCACAATCGAAGCTAATTTGGGTTAAGACACTATAACCGTCTGTTGGTAGGTCGTTCAAAATTTTTTAATCATATGACATCAAGTTTCATACTAAATTTTTTTTTTATAGTAAATCAAATCTTTGCCACAATAATCGATAAACTGTAAAAAATTTTTATAGTAATTCATGATAGAAATCACAGCTAATTCTAACTCAAAAATAAATCGCAATAACTAGTAAGTTTTGTAAAATCATTATAAAAATAATGACAGTTATTTTCAACACACATACCAAAATAGCAAGTTTTATAACAAAATTTTTATAGTAGAAATCACGAATATAAATCAAATACAGCTAACTCAAAAACATATTGTGTGTCACTGCTATAGTCAGAAAGTTTTGTAATGAGTAATAATCATGATTGAAGTCATGACTGTCAACTCCAATACAAGCCAATTCAACCTCAATGACATACTATGTGCATTACAATAGCAAGTAAGTCTTGCAGCAAAATTTTTACAATAGAAATCGACTGTTAATACAAACTAACTCCTGTGTACCATCGCAATAACCTGTAAGTTTTGCAACATAATAGAAATCACTACCATCAATTTCAATACAAACTAGCTCAATTTTTACATAGAGTTGGCTCCGAAACTCTTTATGCTAAAATCCGAAAGTTTCAGGTTTCGGATTATAGTTTCCGAAACTTTATTTGAAATCCTGAAACCTTATCCAAAACCCAAAACCTTATCCGAAACCCCGAAACTGCAAAACATTAATTTTCATATAGTATTAGGCTATGCAAACAAATAAAATTGCTTTTCATTATTTGGCTAAGTAACTTTTTTAAAAAAGTTACAGATGTTTTTATAAATTTCGACAACAAAAAATTTCCGATAGCCGAACTTAGAAACTTAATGAATTCAGTTATCAGAAATTTTTTATTGTTCTAGAATTTATAAGAGTAGCTGTAAAATTCTTTTATATAAAATTTTTATTTTTATATAAAAAAATTTATAAAAATTTTTTAAATTAATTTATTTATAGCTATAGTCTACATGTAGCTATACTATCAAAATATAGTTTTT